AGTGAAAAAATGCAACATCAAAAGATACTAAATTAACTTCTCAATGCAACAACATTCAATGTTCCCAATCTCACGAGGGAGGCTACATCTCCTACGGTCGATAACTACCTATCCTGGTGACTTATCTCTCCGCTCCTACGTCACAAAAGCATGTCCCTCTGATAATCGGCTAAGGAACATTCCAAATCCTTCTAATTTTCCTATCTTTTCAACAACCACTCTAAGGTCATACCACAAAGTCACCTCCAATGCAACCATTAATTTCTAGACAAGAGATTCTTCAGAGTCTCCAACAGCTGAAAGCCAATCTAGGTATGCAATGGGCTAACGATTATGGTGCAACAACATAATTCACACTTTTTAGTTGAAAGAGAACTTAGAATCAAAGAAAATTTTTAGCATGTTGCTCTAATGGACGATTTTGTACGTAAGGAGACCTTGCGCCAAGATTAGGGAGTTGAACCATAACCAATTCCTATTGACACCTTCTCCCCACGCTCAACCAGTGACCCATCGTCTTAACCACTCGTCGTCATGCTACTCTTGAAGAGAGGAAAAATACAAAGTCAAAGCGCAGGCTCCCTAGACGAAGAAGTGCCTGTTCTCGATGCGCATCCTTGATAACAGGATCCTGAAATCTTTCGAGAAATCTCCCAAGTTGGACAACAATGATGGATCAGAAGAATATTTGTGTTAACCCTCAAAGCGGCCGCATTTACTAAGTTCAAGGCCCTCTCAGACGTAAGCATAAATTCTTGGAGGGAGCTATGTGAATCTATTACGGTTCAATTCACTACTAAAAAGAAACAAGCCGCTACAATATCCGTACCCAGTGGTATTAAAAAAAAGAGACCCCATGAGAGTATATTGATAGGTTCACTAAAGAAGCAGTAAATGTAGGGGAACAAACGACATATTAAAGTGTTAGATATTTAAAAAGAGGCTGAGACCAGACTGCGTATTCTGCGAAATGCTAGGGCTAGAGAGGGCCTGAAACTTTAACAATCTCTTAACTAAGCTCATTCATACATCAATTACAAGGAAATATTGGCCGAAGTGGTAGAGAAAGGTCAGGGAGCAAAAAACCCAGGAAATGACCTGGGGCCAGCGAGAGACAACAATTGTTGTTGGGACGATGAGGACAAGGGATCTCAGGCAAGACTCTCATGGTATACTCTCCTTAACACTTCAAGGGAGAAATTCTACAGGATTGTGCAAATGATGACTTCAAGGAAGTCGATATAAGAAACCATATCATGTAAAGGAATATGCCTGGACCGAAAAACAAGGTATTGTTACTTCCTTAAGAGCCATGGCCACAAGACCGATGAATGCGTCCATTTGAAAGATGCAATCAAGAGTTAATCAAGTTAATGCTCACCCGGTACACCTAAAAGTGCAGTAGAAGAAATGATTGATGAGGAAAGAAGAAGTCAAAAGGCGAAGTGAGTTTCCAAGAAAGAGAAAATCCCCTCGCCGCAAAAACGGAACTCCTATGAAAGCAATAGAGGTGGTTAGTGGAGCCAAATGGAAGAAGGATATCAACAATGAAGAGGAAGAAGACCGAAAAAGGAAATGGCAATGCATCACATACATTACCAAAGGGATTCACAGATCAAGGAACTCGTCTAAGGGCACCGTTAAAAGAAGAATCTTCGAGCTAACGTCAAGCAGGAGAGAAGGCGAAACAACTTTTGAGAGGAATCTGAATATGTGTATCTTGGGGTTCTACAATAACGAAAATATAGGGAGAATCCCCAACGAAACCTTTCCTTTGTAGTGACGGTTACTATGGCCAACTTTGATGTATCTAGAACCTTCATAGACGGGCATAACTCACACGACATCATATACGCAAAGCTTTAAAATATGTTTGGGTTGTAGAGGAAAATTTTCTTACCATACGAGGAATCTGATCTACGAGACTTTAACGACACAATAACTCGCCATTGGGGATACATTGAACTAATGTTCACCCTTGGAGAAAGAAGGCACACCAAGACGATCGATCTTTAATTTTTGGTAGTTCCCAGGAAGAGTATTTATAACTGCATCTTAAGCAAACCTGTCGTGGCGACACTAGACGTGTTGGCCTCTCCAGCCCACCTAAAGATGAAATATCATAACATTCACTACAGAATAGTAACAATATATTTTGATCTGGTCCGCGACCAGAGGATACACAACCTTATGGCGTGATAGAGGCCAAAAAGGAAAAGAGAATGCAATGGTAGTAAACATGACCTCCCTCAGCAAAGAATTGGGAGAGATGGTGGTCGGCCACCAATTGAAAGAACTGGCTCTCTCACTAGATATGGCATAAATTATTCTAAATTGATAATTTCGGGAGATAGATTTAAATGAGTGTTGAATCCGACCATAATAGACTGCACTAAGATGCTTGGAGATCAATAAATTGCGACATGGTCAATTGGTTAAGTATATCTATTTCACATGTGTGAAATCCACTCAACATCACTATGTAATATCTCTTACGTGGTAAAAATAAAATTTTCACCAAATTTTCTTCTTTATGATCACAAAGGATATGCACGACTAAAGGGTGTTGCCATAAACATAATAGGTGTACGAATGTAGGAATTAAAACCGCATAGCTATAGTCGCAATGATGCAGACAACAAGTCACAAAACGAAATGGCGATTAGGGCTCACCCTATCTTGCTAGCTAGCCGCTCTAGAGCGCAGAAGGTGAGACCCTGCTACGTTGGCCTCAAACCAAGATTAAATTTGAGGACAGAGAAGAGGAGAAAACCCATACTCAAGTGTGCTCCTTAGAGACGTCCACTAAAACGTCTGCACACAATTTTAAATGTTAGCCAATTCCTAGAGAAGCGAACTCGAGACTCAAGGAAACACACGTAACAAGTAGAAATATTAATAATAAAATAAAGAAAGAGTAATGAAGTAAAGATAATAACGACAAATATTCATTCATTTAACGAGTGTTACATCGGGCAACAACACCTTAACAAAAAAACACTATGAGTCTGACTCAACATAGACCGTCTTCCCATCCACTATCTCTTGCTCATGGAAAATTTTTTCACTTGATAATTGCACCTTAGGATGAAAATTTTCACCTATTTTCAAAAGAAACTTGTAGAACGAAATATTCATCCAAAATCTTAAAACATTATGATTCATCTCACTTATAAAGTGACAAATCTTCACTTTTTCAAGAAATGTGGGACTTATAACTCACACTTGTATTACAATAATCTACTCAATTGTGAGCCTATCTACTTATATGCTCCCCTCAAGCGGAAGCTCTTTCATCCGCATACACTTGTATTGTCATTGACATTCTTACCATGTCACTGACAGTTCAACATGATATGCCGCCTGACCACCACCTTATTAGAAAGAATTTTAATGCAAGTAGTTGGTCTTTTAGTTGAACATGAGAGGAGTATCCAAATTGGATCAAGAACAACTACATAAGTGAGAAAAACACCACATATTTACTCAAAACCCTAAGGCATTAAATATATGGATCCGTTCACTTTATAAAGTGTTTAACCTTCACTTTTTCAAACAACATAAAACTTATAACTCACAATTATATCATACCAATGATATGCTAACAATATTGTGTTAAATAGCTATTCATTTAAGTTACACAATAAGGATTGTAAAGAAAAAAACTCAACAATTTAAGTTACACATTAAGTATTGTAAAGTAAAAAACTAGAACAATTATTATAAATAGGGTGATGCTACACAACTTTAAAAAAATAAAAATTTATGTTGAAAATAGCTTTTTATTTTTTTTTAATTTGAAATTTGAGATGAATGGATGGCTGAAATGGAGGAGGACTTTATCAAATTATAAAATTTAAGATGGATTGTTGAAATGGAGGAGGATTTCAATGTGAAACAAAAGTACTTCTAAAGCTGAAGGAATTTTTTTTATCGAATTGTGGTAAGACTTGCGATATTGTACGACACATAATGTTGGACGGTTAATAATCAACATGAGAATAAATTAAGTGTAGTAGAGATGAGGATGTTGTGTTGGATGTTTGGTAAGACTAGACAAGATATGGTTATAAATTAAAATATTAGAGAGGATGTTGGGGCAACATCTATAGTAGAGAAGATGATGGAAAATATACTTAAATAGTTTGGGCATGAAGAGAAAAGACTTGTAAATTATGTGGTAAGATGAGTAGATCAGTTGGAGAGTAGTTAAACAATTAAAGGGAAAGAAAAACCATAAGAAAGGTTATTAAGAAAGATTTTGAGACTAATGATTTGGATTGAAGCGTAGTCCTAGGTAAAACATTATGGCACAAGTTTATACATGTAGTTGATCCTACTTTGTGAGATAAAGTGTTGTGGTTGTTGTTGTGTTTTTCTCTATTACACCTTTATTTATTAACTTCCACTATGTTCAACTAGTCTACTAATTACAATTAATAAGAATATTCTAGTAAATGATAATACTAATTTTACCATTACATATTCAACACATCTAATCATTTCTAAAGAATTACACATTCCAAGATGTACATGTCAAAGAAACTGAGATGTACACCCGATACTGCAATGAGATATTTGGTCCTAAGATCAAAAGTATGAGAAAGAGAAAATAATTTGTAATAGTAAAAATTAAGGCATAATAGATTTGAGTTTGAGTTAAATGTAAACTAAATGAAATTTGAATTGTAACATAATGTGGTTTGGTTTAATTCAAAATGATCAAAACACATTTGAATCAAATACGGTTTTGTTATGGGTTTTCTATTGGACAGTTTGATTTTGAGCACCTCTTTACCGCAGTTAGCATATCATTTTCATCATAACATTTTTCATTTAAATTGCTTCATTTAGTTCTGTTCTGTTCCTTTAGTGTTAATTTTTATTAATTTGTCTAATTGTTTGATTGAGTGTATTAAAACTTGTGTTTAATAGGTTTCAGTCGTTAATTGGTATTTTCCATTGATCTCTATTTGCTCTTTGCACTCTCTATATGGCAGAATTTGAAGCAAGAAACAGCAAGTTTGATGAAGAAGATTGAGCTTCTCGAAGCTTCGAAACGGTTCATCATCTTAAATTTCACTTCATCTTCACAAACGGTTAACATATATTCACACCAATAAATTTCACTTACAACAAAAGAATGTATTGCATGCAAATTGTTCATTTCTCAGGAAACTCATGGGAGAAGGTTTAGGTTCATGCTCCTTGGAAGAATTACAGCAGATAGAACAACAGTTGGAAAAGAGTGTAAGCACTGTTAGAGCAAGAAAGGTAATTCATCAGCTTCACAAATCACTTTTTTTTACTTAGTTAAATAATCTGAAATTAATTAACTATTTGTTTTTACTACTTTATATATTTTTCAGAATCAGGTTTACAAGAATCAAATTGAACAACTTAAAGAAAAGGTATGTCGTAAAGAAAATAGGGTTTATACAAAACCCTAATGAAAATAATACCCTATTTCTTTTCTGTAATAGAGAAAGTGAAAAGTTTATGTTTCTAGAAATATTAACAATTTAGCATTGAAGAAAGTGCTTATTTCTATGTTTTGAATACAATTCAGGAAAAAACCCTACTTGCTGAAAATTCCAGGCTCTCTAAGCAGGTGAAAAAAAAACTATAGTTACTGTTGTCATTGAATACTTATTTTCTTTTATAAATTATTTAATTAGATTGAAAACCTAACACAGCCACAGCCGCTGCTGCCACCACCACCAAATGATCATGCAAGAGAAAATCAACCGTATGCAGAAAGCAGCAGTCCGAGCTCAGATGTGGTGACAGAATTGTTCATTGGACTACACAGGTCTAGTTGAACATAATGATATAATCATCTGGTGTATGTTTGGTTTTACATGAATTCCAATGCATCTGAATTCACATTTTGAAACTACTTCCCTTATTGCATTGGAATTTGTTCAACTTAAGAACAAACATATATTCTCAATACTTGCCTTATATACATGCAAGTATAGAGTAATGGGGGAAAAGCCCTAATGTGTCTAATGTATTTATTTGTTGAACAATGTGATGCACTGAATATATTGTCAATTTTATTCTTATCAAAGTGTTGTAAAAATTATAGATGGTCTTAAAATATAAAAATTAGGACCATTGCCTTGTAATAACGATTAGAGACAAGTATTGTTCTGGAACATCATGGAACTTTCAAGTTGGTAAGCTTGGTTATTGTACTTAGTTTTCAGATTAATATCTTATCTTAGGGTTGGTTTGTGGGGAAGGTGTGTAGAAATATTGATTGTCTTTTTTCAAGTTTGTGTAATAATCCTTGGGGGTGTCTAGAAAGAAGGGATGTTAATTATGAATTGGCTGGGCCTTAGATGTTTGAGCTCTAGAGGAATCTTCATGCCACATTTTAAATTGTATTCGGCACCTCTATATTTTTTCATAATGATAAATTTATTCTTATTATTATTTTATCTTTTAAATTTTCACGTTGTAGTTAAAAAAATTATCGTTATAAAAATTTAGTAGAATCAAAATATTCGATAGGTGTTTTTAAAATATTTGGTAGAAAAAATTTGGCAAAATTAAATTTTTATGCATTTTTATTAGACATTTAAAAGTTCGGTAATTTTTTCAAAATATATGAAAATTTGTTGAAGGTTTTTGAATTTTTGGCAAATACTCTAAATTTTTATGTAGTTTTACCAAAAAAAAAAATTTTAAAAAATAAAAAATTCCTAAAAGTTTTGCTGAGTTTTTTTGAAAAATTCAAAAATATCTTGAATTTTTCTGTATTTTTGAGAAACATCTGAAATCTTTTGTAGTTTTACTGAAATTTTCGAAAAGTCTGGATATAATGTTTTTGACTTTGTTTTAACCGGAGATTTTAGGCCACTCTAAAAGACCTTGGGCCACTCAAATATTTCTTGGAAATTAATACATTTTAATCTCTTAGAAGAAATATGTGCTTGATTTTTTATAAGAAACAGAAAAACTTGGATGACCAACAAGTCTCCCCATCGAACAAACTTATAAGATAAATCTTAAGAGGTGTCAAATTTGAAAAGGATCATTATCAGTGATTAGTGAAAAAATTGATTTACTTGACACATACTAGGCCATATTTGTGATATGTGGTTACTATGACCACCTAATTTACGCATGACCTAGGAGGGAATACTCCTGCAAATCACATGACGTATTGTACAATATCTCAAAGTCATTCCAGTGAGATGACCTTTGTTTAAAAGAGGGAAAGTATAACTATGAAAACTTAATGCTAATTATGCAGGATCAATGTGTAATGGAAGATCTACTTTAGACTATTGTGCATTCTTGGGCGGGAACCCAATTTCTTTGAAGAGTAAGAAACAAAATGTAGTTGTTTGATCAAATCCTGAAGTAGAATTTAGAGCTATGTCACAAGGAACTTGTGAGTTATTATTGATGAAACAATTGTTATAAAATTTGAAGATACAATATGAAGGTATTATAAAGTTGTTTTGCAATAATAAATCAGTCATTAACATTGCACATAATCTTGCTAGCATGACAAGACATCATACAATGAGATTGACTGACATTTCATCAAAGAAAAGCTGCATAACTGATTAATAACTACATGATACATTTGAGGTCCATGATAACGAAGGATATGATAGTAAGTGTTCTACATTCCACCACGAGCAAGTAGCGATACTAAAAACTATATAGCACACAATATATATAACCACGATTGTAGAATCCAACTGTGGTGAAAAGTGGAATGTTCATTGGTTTGACATCCAACGACAATTTTTTCGTATTTTTAAATGAAAAATCACTATATTTCATCATAATTATAACTTTCAACTGCGGTGATATATACATTTGAGTTTATTATAACTTATTTGAAATGCTTGTTTTACCAACTGTTCACTAAACATATAACCTTTCAATCTAATTTATAAATAATAATATGAAAAATTAAGTTATATTAGAAGAACAAGTTACACTAATCAATGTTTTTTTGATATTTTTGCAATTCATTATCGATATCTCGCTCTCTAATAATTAGAATTTGTTTCAAACCTTCTAATTTTTTACCAACACTTACTTCTCTATTAGTTCATTTTGCAAAGTATTTAATAGGAAAGTAAGACACAATAACACACCAATGCACAACAAATATAAAATTTTCAAGACTTGTAGGAACCTTAAGGATCAACAATAAATATAAGACGATAAATCGAGCAAATAAAGGCATAAAATAACACCAATATTTTTAACGTGGAAAATCTGATACATGCTATCTGCAAGTATACGGAGTACGTTAGAGTAATATAAAAGATTATCGATCCCACAGAGACCAATGACAATCTATCGATTACTATTGTTACGGTGTTTATCTAAAGCTATGAAAACAGAGAGTATTTAGTGCATAGAAAATAAATGAATTTAAATTCAGAATAAAGACATACTAGAATGTAATTCTCATTGCTCAAACAGTATTCCTATTGTATAAGTAGTAATACTTATGGGGCAATATTTTCTTCCTTGAAAAATAGTTAATTATAAAAAATTGTCGCGTTAGCGTAATCGGAACCAGACCTGACCTTAATTCTATACCATCCGCTCATGCTGCACCGGTCGTATCTTGCGTTAAAGTGACTAAGTCCTTTTTTATATAGCTATCTCTAAGACTCATTTAAAAAGTGTATTTGATTGAAAACTTTCAATGTCAAAGGGTTTCCGGCATATGCTCGGCCAACCGGATCCTAAACCTATAAACGCGTCCGAAAATAGTTTAAAATCACTTTCTAATAATATCAAACTTTTCTAATTAATTAATAAAGCGCTTTCGCTGTTTTTACCAATTAAAAACTAACTAACTCTTATCTAAGGTGTCAGATGACTTTCGATCTTACCCGACGTAGTCACGGTCATTATGCAAACAGAAACATGATCCCATTCACGCAATGGACGATCAATTTAAGTTCAGAAAAGTTGTATTAAAATCCAAAACAGACCCTAAAGTCTTTCTACAAATACAACATGTAGAGTACCGTCAAAACGACGGTCCTCACATCCCAACACAACAAATTTAGTCGGACATGACTGTGATAAACATAATAAATAATTTGTTTGTAGAATAAATTATTTAGGAAAATAAAACGTGTGTGATTGGTTCTCGAATGAACGGAAGTGTCACCCTTAGGTTCAGTTTAGAAAACGAATCTTGAAAATAAAAGATAATAATTAAATCGTGTGGTAAAATAAATGCGTGATTAGTTTTCAGACGAATAAAAGTGCCACGCTTGAGTTCACTCTTAGAAAAGGAATCTTGAAAATAAAAATCGATAAGTAAATGGTGCCGAAATATAAAGGCGTGATCGATTCTCGAAAGTATGAACAAAAGTGTCACGCTTAAGTTCACTCTTAGAAAACAAATCTTTAAAATAAAAAGCATTAATTAAATCGTACGAAAATTAAATGCGTGATCGATTTCCAAAAGTAAGAACCGAAGTGTCACTCTTGGATTCTCTTTTAGAAACAAATCTATAAAATAAAAGGGCGATAAATAAATAAGTGCAAGTAAAATAAACGTGTGATCGGTTTCCAAAGGTAAGAACCGAAGTGTCACTCTTAGGTTCTCTTTTAGAAACAGATCTCTAAAATAAAAGGCGATAAATAAATAAGTGCGAGTAAAATAAAATCTGCTCCAAATCGGAGACATGAATCTGGTACAATGCTGGAAAGTAAATCTGACTTGAAAGTAAAATGACGGCAAGGTTAAAATCCCTACGCTATGATGCTCCAACCTTAGTTGCCACAATGGTGCGATAAACCTTTGATGTGACGATTTATCGTTTTAACTCTGAATATATGCATATGCTGAGAACTAAGACTGGATGCTTAAAACTAAAGATATAGATCCTATTTATAGTGTAACAATGCCTTGGACGTTACGTAACTTCTTTCGAAATTGTGGGGAGAAAAAATCTCCGGTCATGGCATCATGCTCTAACCGTCCTTGACCGGACCACCAAATACACAGATGGCGTCTGCCACGTGCACAAAAGGAGATGGACGTGGTCAAGTGATGGTTATAACGTGGAAAAATCCTACACGTCATGGCTACCCCCATGGCCAACGCCATGTGGAACGCCGTGTGTGTAGTTTTCACCCGAAACTCCGTTTTCTGCTCTTTTTCGCTCCATTTCTTCGTGGAAGGCTCTTATTAGGAAATGTACTTGAAAGCAAGACAAAATACAAGCATAATGTAAGAAAATAACAAATAAACGACAATAAACATGTGCAATCTTAGCCAATTATGCAGTGTGTTTTAGTGTTATCAAAACCCCTAAATTTGAGAGTAAAAATCACAAGTCGTCCATACCAAAGAAATAACTTCACTATAATTAAATAAAGGTACAAGAGAGTCTTAAAGTGATACACAAATTAGTGCTAACAACCGTAAATCACAAATCAAACTAGCTTACAAATAAGAATAAAAAAAGTTGAAAAATTTCCCAAATATGCAGCTTCAGTGCGAAGAAGATAACTCTCACCTCTGACGTTGTTTTAAATCTCTGAACGGTCAAAAGTTAGATACATCTGTTATGAACCTACCCTAATGATTTGAGCTTGATCTGACTGTTAACAAATCACGTATCATCGATTTAGTAAGACTGCTGGTTGTAGAAAAAACAGGAATGTGTTTCTATCCTCTTTTCTCTCTTTTGAATCCTTATTTTCTCTCTATTCCTCTCAACCCTAAATTGATTCTCTATGCTTAAATAAGTGAGAAAATGGAATAATCATATTTGGGTCTTTATACACATAGGAAGGGAGCCCAAACCAACAAATA